TTTTTCTACAATTAAAAGATAAAATCATCATCTTGTTTTAGCATGTTATTTCGTTTCTAAATGAAAAAAAAAGAAACGAAATTTAAAATAATTATTTATGCAATGAGAATTTTAGTTTAATTAATATAAACTGAATTATGTGTCTTGTTCATTTCCTGAAATAAAATTTTTTTTTTGAAATTAATTTATTTTTTCAACTTTAATTCCAAAATAGTCCACAAATGCTAATAATGAAATGAAAAGGAAAATTATGTGTCTTAAGTGCAATTGGAATGCAAGGCTTTGCGGGGTTTTAATTATTAAATGGCTATGTTACAGCTGAGATTTATTCTTATCCTTTACTTTGTTTAATTAAAGAATTGAATAGATTCTATGATGAAAATAATTATGTATTAATTCAAGACAATATTCCAATACATTAGAGTAAAGGAGTAAAGAGATTATTCGATACTTTACTTAAATGACCCAATAGAGAAAATCTGGAATTAATTAAAATACTATGTGTATAAAATAATAGTTTAAGAATCGTCAGAACTAGAACTAGATAGATTGATTCATCAATTCTTTGCTGTTCTCAAACAAAACTAATTGTATTCTTTCCTGCATTCCAATTTTGTAGCAGATTATAAGAGAAAGAGATGAATTCAATATAAAATAATGAGGAAATTAATTATGAGATTCCATTATAATTGTAATTATTTTACCCTTTATTTTTTAAAATTATTTAATTGAAAAATTGGATTTTAGGAGTACTTTTTATAATTTCTATTTATAGAATAATTATAAATTAATTGGAAGACCTAATAGTGTTAAAAAAAGTACAGATATAAATTTTAATTGTTAAAGTGTTATGAATAAAATCAGTTTATCACTTATTAAATTGGTTCGTCGCTTTCTAAAATACAGCCTCCTCTTTGTTTAAATAATATTCTTAAATCTTCTCCTAATGAAGAGACAAATTGTCCTTATAAAATTAAAGCACCATTTGCTAATAAATAAGGTTATTAACATATTACAAGAATTGGAATATTTGGATTAACTAAATTAATATAATAAAAAACCTTTGAATAAAACTGGATTATGTTAAAAAAGATTACACTTGAATTTGGCCATTAGATCTTTGTATTTTTAATTAGATGGTTAAATTGATTATCCTGTTTGAACATCCCATAATCTGATTGAGGTATCATGACTACCAGATGCTAAAGTAGTTCCATCAGGTGAGAAGCATACAGAATGGACAGTTCAAGAATGACCATCTAATTTGGCTTTTTATTATCCTTCCTATCAAAGATGTATTCTTTATTCTAATATCCTCAAAGCTTTGATTGGTTAGATCAACCTTCATCTCCACTAATAGACTTAGTCCATTTGACCCACATCGAATAAATTTTTCATCAATACTAGTTAGTTGTACTAAGAATTTAAGAAAATCTATTATTGTCTTATTTCCTGAGATCTTCTTAATCACATTGAGTCTTTCTTTTTCACAGCCTTTTTAACTATAATCATTTTTGTTAAAGGGATGATCTAAAATGTTTCTCAAAGCATTAATGATCTTTTTAATTTTCTTTTTAATATCACTAGTTGTCGCATATTCATTGACAAATGATTCATATTACTTAAGATTGACTTGCTTTGAAATAGATAAAATGATATCTGAAATCTTCTCTTTTCTCTGCTCATCAATAATCCCTTTATATATTTATTCATCAATATCCTAAACAGAGGCTAGAATTTCATAAAGATCTTCTTTCCTTTAATATTCTTCACCTTCAACTAGATTCAATTCCATCCTAGAATAATTTATACTTCTTACTGAATAAACTGCAATTTTTTTAATACTTCATTTGAATTTTAGATAAAAGCCTATATTCCATTGTCCCACCCATTCTTTATCTTTTCTAATAACTTCAAATAGGAATATTTTTAACAATTCCAATCATTTATTGATTTCCCTTCTACAATGGAGACTAATTTTTCTAAATCAGTAGAAGAGGATTCTGATAAATTGGTATTTACACTGATAAGATTTGTGTATGATTAGTTTTCCAATTCAATTTACTCATACATTTTTTTGATTGATTCAGATAAATCTTACCAAATTTTCTTCATCATCCTTTCAGTGTCAGATAGCACAGTTTTAAAAGACATTTTCTGTTGGGTTAATTCATATGACTGGTCAAGCTTAAAATCTTGCAATTTTTTTAGCACCATTTCTTAAAATATTTAGATTGGAACGCTCTAATCAATATCCACTCCATGTTCATATTGGCATACAGCGCAAAGTTTCCTTTAGTATTGGCATTTGTGTGGAGCAACACATATCGAAACAATTGGTTTATTAATATGATGAGTGCACTGCATTATGTTTTTTATGAAAATTATTGAATTTCTATTACTTTTTTAATAATTCTTATATTGTGAATCAAAAATATCTAATGTATTAAAGTTAAGATAAAAATAAAACGCAGTGAAAATAAGGATTTGAATGTTATAGATGTAAAATCAACACATTTTCAATGATAAGGACTAATGCATAGCTTGAATCTTTTAAAATATAGAATTAAATAAATAAGGTTGTTTATTTAATCATTATTTTTTGTAAGACAATTTATATATAAATATTTTTAGAAATTGTTTTAGGGTTGGCCCACTAGTATGTTTAATT